CCCCCGCCCTGCGGGGCGGGGGGTGGGGGGGTTGTTAGGTGTTATCTCATCAATTAATAGAGGAGGAGCAAAATTTTGAGAAACACTGCACAACATGTTCCACTTCATCATTTTTTCCCTTGTAGACATAGCATAAAATATTGCAACCTCATATTGGAACACATTTGCACAAAATACTGGAATACTGGCATTGTATTAAACACACACATTCACAATAGAAAATGTAGAAAATCTAATTAAAATATATCCCAGAAATGTAATTTTTTCAAACAAGAAAATGAAATGCATTTTCTTCAAGTACTTCTACCATTGGCCATAAGATAAATGTCTCATCCTATCTCTTTTTTTTCCCTTAATACAACCAATCTTTTCCTTAAATAAGATATTTTATAATACAGGCTAAATCTTTCTCCCACTTCCAAGATGAGCAGGAGTTAATTTTTGTCTGATGTAAAGCATCTGTATTCCTCTTCTAAAACTACCTGCTTTCAATCTGTTAATATTCCCAGAAGTCTTTTATCCTCCTCTCAGCCAAGGGCTACAGTCATGCGATTCAGATGTGCTTCTGACTTTAAATCATTCCTTTGGTCTTATTTGCTTTGAAGTGATTAAGATGGAAGCATTTAAGAATGCATCACAGGGGTGTCTTTAAGCAAGATTAGTTGGAAATAATGAAGCCAGCAACCTTTAGATAATGGTCAGATGCTCCTGGGCTGAGTAAAGTCTCCCTAAATGGATGGTGTATTTTGAATATTGCTAAATTCCTCCTCAGAATTAGCAGGGAATTAACTGTTGGAATTAACAGTAACTGAGAACATCAATTATGATGCTTTGTAGCTGTCTTTAAACAAGTTGAATTGTTTTACCTATTCTTCCAATTGTTGTTGATGGCTGTTGTTTGTTTCCAATTATGGAAGAGATGACATGAAGTCTGAAGGAGCACCAAGCAAAATGAACGTACCGATGTATGGTGGTCAAAAGCGTATTATTATTTTATTTCTCACTCACTTGTGACCTCCTGAAGGCTCAAAGCAGCTCATCAGAGGAGCGCAAAAAACCTTTTTAAACAAATATATAGGGTATGACGTTTATACCTTCCAAGGAGTTGAAGGGGATGGGCAGTGAGGAGAGTGGGGACACCCCATTTCTCAACAACTCAGCAACACAGAGTTTGTGGTATCATTTAATCTTGTTGTGGTTTTACTGTCAGGAGGACGTATAGCAGATGGTAGTGTCTAGCTGACTGTCAAGGCCTTCAGTGTGGGAACTCAGCTGCAATTGCATCCTCCAGAAATCAAAACATGATTAAAGCCTTTATTGCAAACAGATGAGCAGCCCCAAATCCATAATTTAACAGTACTTGCCAATAAACGATTATTCATAATATAAAACCAGATACCAACAACTCTGCCTCTTTTTGCAGAGAGTAAGGAAGATGACCTTGATGGAAATATGCAGGAACCGTTACCTAGGCAAAAAAGGCTGAAACATTTTTCAGTCTAGAACAACGTAGTAACATTTGGAAGTGACTCGGGCAGAATCACTAATTAATTAAAGGAGGAGGAGGAGGAGGTTCAGCACAATCAGGCTTGCAACATTTGGTTATTAAAGCCCATCTCATTAAAAGTAGATGTAGCCTTCCAATGGAGCTGATGTCCTGGTCTGGTTTATCTAATGGGGCTGATGCTGTTCCCGTGCTGTCCTCTGACAATCCAAATTCAGCACTCAGAGGCAGGAACACTTCTGCATTGTCCATGCACAGAATACCCAGAGCGTTCCCACCCCATCAGTCCAAGCATTGTCTCTGTTCCAAGATTTCACTTTTCACAGATCCTGGCACTGAGCTTGGCTGATTTTGAAAAGCTAAGCAGGGTCGGAGCTGGTTAGTAGTTGGATGGGAGACTGCTGAGAAATCCCAGGATCACACTGTAGACCAATGTTTCTCAACCTCAGCAACTTTAAGCTGTGTGGACTCCAATTCCCAGAATTGCTGGCTGGGGAATTCTGGGAATTGGAGTCCACACAGCTTAAAATTGCTGAAGTTGAGAAACATAGCTGTAGACTTAACTGGGAAATCAAAAGAACATTCCAAAAGAAGGCAGGGACAAAATACTTTTGTATTCATGGAGGGTTGGTTTTCAGGGCTGTTGTCTGTTGCTGAAATGACTCTGGGGTAATGCTGTAGGAGAGAAGGAATACGTGCTGACATTTTGCTAGCCGCGTGGCCAACTTTGGAGCAGATTTGAAACTAGACATGGCAGCAGATGTCACATCCTTTTATGCTGCTTGTGTTCAAGGGAGCAGAACACCTTGTAGCCAGCACTAACCGCCATGCAGATGACAGTCGATAACCTTCCTCCTGACTGAAATTATTTGGATATTTATATATTTTTATGGCTACTAATTCTGGGACAATAGCTGCTGTATCATGCCAGGATACATATAAAAGAGTCACCCCACAGTGAGATGGGCGGTGACAAATTTGAAATATAAATATTAAATAAATAAAATAAAAACCAACTTTTTTTTTTGTAACAAGTCCACCAGTGCACTATTTATTGAAAAACAGCAACCACCCAGCAGAAAAGTAGGTAGACTGAGAAAAAGAAAAATAGTAATTAAAAAAACACCCGCTGGGTTTCAAACTAGAGATATTCTGCATGCAAGGCAACTATTATAACCATTCTGCTAAGAAAGACTATAGCAGCTGCAACCAGGAAAAGCAGGGAAAATGCAATAGAATAATTTTAAAGCTGGTGGTTGTGCCTACATGTATGAGCATTTTGATGCTTTCACTTTGTATTGATTGGTTGATTGATTACATGCCATCAAGTTGGTGTTGACTCTTAGTGAACACATACTGTAGATTTTCTGCAGGGGGTCTGTGCCCAACCTAGTCCTTCAGGTCTTCTAGTGGTGCGCCTATCGCCATTGTAATTGAGTGCACCCACCCTGCTTCATTTTGTACACATAAACTTAACTTCATATGTGTATGTGTGTACACGTACATATACATATAAAATATAAATGTCCACTCATTCACAGAAAGGAAATTTTACTGGATATTTATAAAGTATAAAATATTATAACATTTCTGGGTATCTCATGCAGTGTTTGCCCAGTTAGATTGGGCTACAGCGAGAGTGTGGCAGCATGGCACCAACATGTATTGAGCTCTGCCTGCAGAATGAAAGCTGGCTATGACCTTGGAGAAACGAGTGGGCTTCAACATTGAATACTTCCCCATGAATGTTGGTGTGGGGTGGGCGATTCATGGTATGAGAGATGTTCTGCAAGATAGTTTGTGTGCCCCATGAGGTTTACTTGATAGGTATTATGAAGGTGAGGGATAAGTGGGTAAGAGTCGGGGGCTTCTCGAGGGTTGGATCTTCCTCTAGACTTGGTGGGGTGGCTTTAGTTCCACTTATTTGAAACCCTACATTGAAGGAATGTGGCCCAGAGCCTTACAAGAAGAAAGTACTATCCTAGCATAGTGCTGCAGGCTGTGATGAATGCCAAGGGCCATTTCATGGATGTGAATGCAGGCAGTTCTGAAGGTTACTACAACACTCGGGTGTTTTAAAGCTTCTTCTCTTGAGTTGGCTGCAGAGTCTTTCTTCTATAAGTCCAGGGCTCTGATGGTTTGGCAAATCACCTTGTTGTTGTGGCAGACCAGGCCTATGCATTCCAGATGCAGTTGATGATTTCCCATTTTCTCCTGCACTCCACAGCAGAGTGCACAATGGTGGGGCAGGCATTGAGGCATCTGAGGGCACAAGGACATTCTCTGGATGTTTTCCTTGCTCTAGAGCATGGACTGATTCAAGATGTGCTGATGGCTCATTGCATAGTGCATATCAGTGAGAGACATGGGGACTGTTGCCAGGAGACACTCTTGGACTGCCCGGTAAGAGTGCTTTGAATGCTGTTGCACTGAATGCTGGCAGAGATGGTCACATGCTTTGCCTGGAAAACCCTTGGGCTCCAGGCACTAACCACCCCATCAGAGGCCTTTTTGTTTATTTATTTAACTTTATTTATTTAATCGTATTTATATAGCCACCCATCTCACACAAAGTGACTCTGGGCGGCAATTGCTACGCACTCCTGCCTGGGAGATACCTTTTGGGAACACAGGAGAGGTATCTGCTGCCCTCTTTCTCGGGGCTGCTGGTACACTGCATGGCCTTGGTGCAATGGACTTGCTCCAACTTAATCATGTGTTTTTGCCATCCCTTCTCCCCCACCTTATGCCCCTGTGAGGTTTATTGTGGTAGGGACAGGGTGTCTCCTTCACTATTGCTTTCCTTCCGTATTTATTTTCCTTAAAAGGAGTGTGAAGGTGTTTTTCTGCGCATGGTTCACTTGTGGGGGATAGACAGGGCAGGTTTTTCAGTGCTCCCTCGCCTTGAGCCCATGTCAGGAGAAGCGGGGTTGGATGGAGGCTGCTGACAGGGTGGCCAGAGGTGCAGGCAGGCAGTGTGAAAATTGTGTGGGTCTGTCCATGCAGCACCGAACATCCCTGCTTTTTCTTCTCCCTGTCCCTTACCTTGGCCAATCAGGAAGGAGTTAATGATGGCATAAGGCCTTTCCAATACTCTCCTGGCCCAAGAGCTCATGGGATTCCCAGAACATCCAGCAGAAAGGCAGTAAAGACGGCACCCTTGGTCTACTCAGAATTATCATTTGCTGTCAAAATCACTGGTAAGAAATGTTGACTGGATAATTTGCTTCATGCAATAGGACTTAAGGATATACATTAAATGCAACTCAGTAAAGGGGGGAGAAGCCCAATATGCGCTTAGTGTAGTTTTCTCAGTCTCAGGCCCCTCACATACACTAGGCTGAAAATTCTAAGTCTCATAGTTGGGAGATGATAGGAATTGTAGTCCAACACATCTGAAAGGCACCAAATTGGGTTTTATCTAATGGATGCAAGCCATTTACTTCTTCCAACTTTTAAAGTTTTTTTTTAAAGTCCTCCTAGCATAGCTATGAAGATATCCATAAGACAGATAAGCTGGTTCCATGTTCATGAGCAATGTGGTTGATTCTGCCACGCACACAGTCTAGAGATATAGATACCATGGTCCCATTGTGAACCTTGAAAGAGGAACGAAGGCTAACACTGGTCCAGATGCTACCTTCAGGTACTTGGCCTCCAATTTGTTGAGCAATTACATTAAGTGGTGCATGATCACCAATACACTGATTTAAAGTTACCCGAAGCATATTACATGAATGAATTAATTTTAAAGTAAACACAATACTAGCAATTCCTCTTTCTGTAAATACAAAGTATTTCTGGGCAAGTTGTCCAGTAGATATTAGATAGACTTGTTTCTCGTTGGTGGAGACTTGAGTAAAATCCAAGACTTTGTTTCTGACAGCTCCTGTAGGCAGTCTCATTACAGAGACTGCGGCTGAAAGAGCAGTGGAAATAGTGGATGGGACCCAGATGAGGCTGAGTGTACTAATGCCAGAACTGTCTCCAAAATAACGAACACTGCATTGTGCAGGAGAAAGGATCTCAAAGCTAATTAGATCCCCAGCACTGACTTTGGTGGCCCCAGAAAGAGAGATTGAAGTATCTCTGTAATTGACACCAGATTTATAAACAGTCATCAGTTCTGCATTGGTTCCATTTTTGTTCAGATAAGCAATCATGGTGAATCCTTCACGAATGCAGGTATGACCCATGGAATATAGGGCTTGGTGGAAAACAAACTTCACAGCCCCTGTTTCAGTAAACTTGATGGCTCTGCCATCATGAGATAAAGTTAGCATATAAGAGTCCGAAAGAGAAACAAATTTAAAGGTAGGCTGATAATTTGTTTGGTAGTGCATTGCAGTGGTAGTTTGTGCAGTCATGGCTACTGCTCCTGTATCGTGAGACAACCAAAACAAGCTGAGAGGTGTTTGGAGATCATATATGTCTAAATCTTTACTTTGGTTGCAGAACTGATTAGGGCTCTTCAAAAATACTGAAAGAGTTTGGCTTGGCTCTACCTCTGCAGCACTACTCACACTGGCACTCTGAAAAAGTTTGCCTTCTGGTTGTTCGATACGAACTCCGCTTAGTTCATAGCCTTCCTCACGGTCCTTGAATTTTAAGGAAAGATGGAGGAAATTTCTGCAGTTATGTTTCACAGCAAAGTTGAAATCAGCCCACATTAAGCCATGTTCTTTGAACACCAAGCTGTCCTCTTCAACAGTTCCGATACCGCATCCTTGTTTTTCCTTTAACTTCAGGTTAAACCCAGGGTAGACCTGAGATGAGCCAGACTTTGCCAAGGGTAAAACAATGTCTGCAGCCCATGTCTCAGACAGAATGGTTTCACTGGCTGTTGAACAAACTGTGTCACTAACAAGGGAACAAGGTAAAACTGTTGCTCCATCATCACACATTAGACAGGCCTGGCACTCCTGCAGCTCTTTATTAAAGAAATATTCCTCTCCACACAGTCCCAGAGCAGCCTCTTTTTCTGCAATTCCAAGACAGCGGAATCCTCCTATTCACAAGTAAAGATAGTTTCAGTTAGAGGCCTGATTTTATTTACCTGCAACATTTAAACCCTGTTTACTGAAAGTTTGATGAAATGTACACTAATACAAGCAGTCCCAAGTCTGTGTATTTAATTCAAGGAGAGGCAACCTGTGTCCCCAAATACCTTTTTACAATTTTGGAAGTTTTCTCCAACTGTACCCCCATCTTTCAGTGATTTGTGTGCAATTTTTCTCCATTATGAGGTGGGGCAGGCTTGATGCAGCTGAAACAAAAGAAACTCCTCCCTGCAAAAAATCTGGCGAAAAAGCAAAACTCAGGCCTTGGCCATTCATATGATGCAGTCCTACCCATAATGCATCATCACTTCACTGCCTGCATTGAGCCTCCCCCCAAAAAGCGTGGCCTCCTAATTATAAATTTTAGCTAATTAGCTAATAAGTTGAACGAACCATCAGATACATTTGTATTTATTATATGAGTAAGAGCAAGACTTCTCCAGCCAAACAAGTCCATTTTATTTGCTTTAGGTCAGGAGTGTTCCATTTCCAGCATCTCTGATATAAACTTTAAAAGTGTTAGGAATGGCTGGCAAAGTTCCTCTAAAATTGTTGACTGTAATTTTTAATGCAACAAGTGGGGGAAAATATTAAATGTAGAGAGAGCAATCAGATTAATTGTATTTCACTATTTACATTCAATCAAATACAGTGGTACCTCGGGTTACGAATTTAATCCGTTCCATGACTCTGGTCGCAACCCGAGTTGTTCGCAACCCGAAGCAAAATTTCCCATAAGGTTCAATGTAATTACCGTTAATCCGTTCCAGCGTCCGTGGACCACGTGTCAAGGGTGGAAAAACGGCCGCGGACCACGCAGCAGGGCATAAAAATGGCCGCGGACCGCGCAGCAGGGCGGAAAAACGGCTGCGGACCGCGCGGCACGGACGGAAAATGGCCGCGGACCACATGGCACGGGCGGAAAAATGGCTGCGGACCACGTGGCACGGGTGGAAAATGGCCGCGGACCACGTGGCACGGGCGGAAAATGGCCGCGGACCACGTGG